CGACTCTGCTGTCTTTACTGCGACTCTGTACTCTGGCTGTGTTTCTCGTGAAAAGCCTAGAGGTGTAATACGTCTGCTTCATTTACAGGAACATTGTGTTGTTCTCCAGACAGATTACTTATTCAACATTACCATTAAAATAAGAAACAGACAGACAGAGAGACAGAGAGAGAGAGAGAGAGACAGAAAGAGACAGACAGACAGACAGACACAGAGAGAGGGACAGACAGGCAGGGTTTACCTTCAGACACTGTCTCACCTTCAGCAGGACGAAGAACTCAAAGACTCTCCTGAAGGACGGCGGGAAGAGTCGGGCATACGTGACGGCCATCTTGAAGAAGAGGGCGTGAAAGAGGCGGTCCCGGACATTGATGAGGGGATTCTGGTTCATGTTGGGGTTTCGGATCCTGTTGGGTCCCATGTTGTTGTTGTTGTTGTTTAGAGGGACGTTGTTGTTGTTGGCCTGGTTCTCAGACATGATCTCTGATTATTGCGCTCACACAGACTAACAGATGGTTCTAGGTCAGCATGGCGGCCGGCAGTCTCAGTGAAGGTGGAACTCTGACCTCAGATCAGAGTCTGAAGGGTCCTGACGGTTCACACAGCTCAAACTGTGGGACAGAAACATTGATTATTGATAATGAAGTGAGCTTATAAAGCAGGAGTTCAACAACCAGTTCAGTCAGGGTTAGGGTTAATCTAATCTTTACTTTTCTCTTGTGCAACAACACGGCAGTCTGACCCTGGAGCTGCTCTCAGGTCAGTGCAGATACAGATATTACCAATATGCACACTGTAGTGCCTTCCCCAGTAACTAATTACTAATAATTTTAGTTATTGGCAGTTGTTGGCACCCCTACTAATGTGACTCTCCATTACTCTGGTTTTAACAAACAACTTTGAGGGAAAAAGGACACAATTAATAATTACTTATGTCGTGGTGAGTAGCAGAAAGGTATCTAATTACTGTTGGCAGGGAGCGATAAGTGAAGTAATTATATTACTTCTGAAAAGAGTAATGAGTATTTGAGAAATAAAAATGTTTGAGTAACAACACTGCTGTCGACTAATGTTTGTTGGGTTCAGGCCAACAGATGTCACATCAGTATTATTATATCATTGATATTGTAATATCTGTCAGCTTTAATACAGTTTCTGACACCGGACTGAACTGGACGGGCAGACAGAAACAGAAAGGATTCAGGATGGGAACCCAGAACCCGTTCAAACTAATAATATATAAAGAGGATGTAAAGAGGATATAAAGAGGATGTAAAGAGGATATAAAGAAGATATAAAGAAGATGTAAAGAGGATAGGATAGTAAAAGGATGTAAAGAAAGATAAGAGGATGTAAGGGATATAAAGAGAATGTAAAAGAAGATACTAAAGAGAATGTAAAGAGGATATAAAAAGATATAAAGAAGATGTAAAGAGGATATAAAGAGATATAAGAGGATATAAAGAAGATATAAAGAAGATTAAAGAGGATATAAAGAGGATGGTAGAAATTAAAGAGGATAATAGAAGAGGATATAAAGAAGAATGTAAAGAGGATATAAAGAAGATGTAAAGAAGATTATAAAGGAATGTAAAGAGGATGTAAAGAAGATCAAGAGGATGTAAAGAGGATATAAAGAAAGATGTAAAGAAGATATAAAGAGAATGGTAAAGAGGATATAAAGAAGATATAAAGAAGATGTAAAGAGGATGTAAAGAAGATGTAAAGAGGATGTAAAGAAGATAAGAGGATGTAAAGAGATATAAAGAGATGTAAAGAAGATATAAAGAGAATGTACAGAGGATATAAAGAAGAAATAAGAAGATGGTAAAGAGGATATAAAGAGGATATAAAGAGGATGTAAAGAGGTTAAAGAGAATGTAAAGAGGATATAAGAAGATGTAAAAGAAGATATTAAAGAAGAAATGTAAAGAGGATATAAAGAAGATATACAAGAAATGTAAAGAGGAATATAAAGAGGTAACTAAAGAGGATATAAAGAGGATGTAAAGAGATATAAAGAAGATGTAAAGAGGATATAAGAGGATGTAACGAGATAATAAGAAGATGTAAAGAGGATATAAAGAGGAGTAAAGAATAAAGAGGATAAAAGAGGATATAAAGAGGATGTAAAGAGATATAGAAGAGGATGTAAAGAAGGATATAAAGAAGATGTAAAGAAAGATATAAAGAGAATGTAAAGGAGGATATAAAGAAGATATAAAGAGATATAAAGAGGATGTAACGAGGATATAAGAGGATTAAAGAGGATATAAAGAGGATGTAAAGAGGATATAAAGAGGATGTAAAGAGGATATAAAGAGGATGTAAAGAGGTATAAAGAGGATTAAAGAAGATTTAAAGAGAATGTTAAAAGGATATAAAGAAGAATGTAAAGAAGATTAAGAGGAATATAAAGAAGATGTAAAAGAGGATATAGAAGAGGATGTAACGAGGATATAAAGAGATTAAAGAGGATATAAAGAGATGTAAAGAGGATTAAAGAAGAATAAAGGGATGTAAAGAGGATTAAGAGAGATGTAAAGAGGAATGTAAAGAGGATATAAAGAAATATAAAGAAATGTAAGAGGATATAAAAGGATTGTAAAGAGGAATATAAGAAGATATAAGAGATGTAAGAGGATATAAAGAGATATAAAGAGAATGTAAGAGGATGTAAAGAGGATATAAGGAGATTAAGAGAATGTAAAGAGGATATAAAAGAAGATATAAAAAGATGTAAAAGAGGGATATAAGAGATATAAAGAAGATGTAAAGAGGATAAAATAAAGAGGATGTAACGAGGATATAAAGAGGAATGTAAAGGATGTAAAGAGGATGTAAAAGATATAAAGAGAATGTAAAGAGATATAAAGTAAGATGTATACGAGGATATAAAGAGGATGAAAGAGGATATAAAGAGGATGTAAAGACGGATATAAAGAGGATGTAAAGAGGATATAAAGAAGAT